GTTTATTCATTTTTGGGACAGAGAGAGACAGAGCATGAACGGGGGAGGGGCAGAGAGAGAGGGAGACACAGAATCGGAAACAGGCTCCAGGCTCTGAGCCATCAGCCCAGAGCCCGACGCGGGGCTCGAACTCCCGGACCGCGAGATCGTGACCTGGTTGAAGTCGGACGCTTAACCGACTGCGCCACCCAGGCGCCCCTACGCAGCTTTTTAAAAATGCCCGTTTTATCAGGGAAAGCAGGCACCTCGTGTGATTGCAATAGTGAGCATATCAGGCACAGGCGGAGTTAGGTCACTGCTGGGCGGGAGGGAGCTGAGCGGGCCGGCCTCCTGGGTTCCGTGTTCCCACTTGCCCTTGGTTGCGCAGAGGGCAGCCGGCGGTGGGGGTAGGGGGGGCGTGGTCGCTCTGGGCAGTCAGACAGGTGGAGATCGGTTGTATGTGAAGTTACTTTCTCTGCTCAACCAGCCCTACTAACACCGAGCGCCGTTCTGGTCTGTTCGGCCAACGGCACGGGACACCTGCTCTGTATGGGGCACAGTGTCGGCTCCGGGGGGCAAGGCAAGGGCCATCGGGAGTTCCCGGAGTTGCCGTGACAGCGGGTCGTGGCCTCCAAGCCCCCATGGCCACAGCCCCTCCACCTGTGTCTTCTGTGGGCCGTGTTTTGCAGGACCCGGTCATCAGTCAGTTTTTCCCGACCCTCCTCCTGTGGTCCTTCTCGGCCCTGCTCCCCACCATCGTCTACTACTCCACGCTGCTGGAGTCTCACTGGACCAAGTGAGTGAGGACGCTTGCCCGACGGCGTCCGTGGGCGCCCAGCGGGGGTCTTGGGGGGGCACCGGGCAGGGCTCACCTCTGACTTCCTGCAGGTCGGGAGAAAATGAGATCATGATGTCCAAGGTCTATATATTCTTGATCTTCATGGTGTTGATCCTGCCGTCCCTCGGCCTCACCAGGTACGTGTCGTCACCTCCTGCCCTGAGTTCACAGTCAGGGTCTGGACGGCTCCGTCCCCAAGTGGTTTTAGAGGATGCAGATCCCTGATGACACTTAAGCTGGTCCCTCCCACTTGGGGTGCCGTTGGGCGGCAGGCTCACGGATTGTTCTGGAGATCCAATCTCTCTTCTTTAAAAATTTTTTTTTTTTCAACGTTTATTTTTGGGACAGAGAGAGACAGAGCATGAATGGGGGAGGGGCAGAGAGAGAGGGAGACACAGAATCGGAAACAGGCTCCAGGCTCTGAGCCATCAGCCCAGAGCCCGACGCGGGGCTCGAACTCACGGACCGCGAGATCGTGACCTGGCTGAAGTCGGACGCTTAACCGACTGCGCCACCCAGGCGCCCCCAATCTCTCTTCTTTAAAAAGAAGCTTGAAGACAACATTTCCGCCCAGGGGGAGGGTCGAGTCACGGCTGTGTTGATTTTAAGGGAGGGGGCCGCCGTTGGAGCAGCCCCTCATTGGCTGCTCTGGAGTGGGGGGCACCTTAGACGACAGATGGGGTCCTGATGTCCCGCCTGCTGGTGAGAGCAGGAAAGAATGAAAACGGGTCGCGATCACCTGGAGGGCTGGACATAAATTCTTACGGGATTCATTTTTCTTCCAGTCTGGATTTTTTCTTCCGGTGGCTCTTTGACAAAACTTCCTCCGAAGCCTCTATCAGGTTGGAGTAAGTATGGGCCACGTTGCGTTTTGGAGCCGCGGTCCCGTGGGGAGGTCCCCCGGGGGCTCGGCCGTGGCTGCGCTGGGGCTGGGGGCGCGGCGGCCTGTGCCCGGCACAGACGTCTCCTCCTGAGGCCATCGGGGCCGGGGAAGCCCCGGGCGCCTGGCAGGGCTGAGGCCGCCCTGTGGGAGCTGACCCGCTTTGTGCCATGTGTGCAGAAGTGTGGTTAATCTTTTAGGCTGAAACTCAATCAGGGGCAGTCTTGTTCATTCTTGGAAACTCACTTACTTACTGAGAACGGAGCCGCTCGGGGAGAGGGAACCCGTGGGTCCCAGTGGTGCCGGGGAGGCGGGGGTGGGGACGGCCACGCGGCTGTGTGGTTGGGCCTGGGCCCTGTTTACCCCGGAGAACAGAATTAAACCTGTCTCTGGGATGTGTCCCCCTGAGAGGGCGTTGCGGGCTAAATGCTTTATTCTTTTTCTCGTTGAACCTTTACGACAAGCTGTGGGGGTAGGCGCCATTGTTTCTCCATTTTATGGATGGGGAGACTGAGGCTCAGAGATGTTGGAATAGCTTGCCCTGGGCTACCCAGCCCGTTAACTTGGCCTGAGCCCCGACTGCCCTACCCTTTGGGCCCTAATACCGGCCCCCAGCCTTGGCATTGACTCGTCCAACCCAGGGTTGGTAGGAAGGCTGGCCGAGTTTCCTGGGGAGATTAGACCGAATTATTCCACGTGGGTTCTTGCTGGTCAGGCTGAGGGCTCAGGGGCTGGTGGCCACAGGCGGGCACCCACACACCCGGCCAGCTCCCGTCTGGGTGGACCGTGGCTTCCAGATGGCCAGATCCGGCGCTCAGGGCTCGGCCCTCACTTTCATGAACCGTCAGCCACGTCTGACACATCGTCACGCCTTCGTCCGCGAAGGCTCCAGGATGGCCCTGTCCGGGTTCTCTCCTCCTCGCGGGTTCTCCTGCATCTCCCCGACGCCAGTGGCCCTGCTCTCAGTGACCTCAGCTGGACCCCAGCCTTCGTGCCCCCGTGCTCCCGAGTTGGAGCCTGCAGGCCCCGTGCACCCGCGGCCCCGTGCCCAGGGCTGCCCACGAGTGTCTGGCTGCTCCAGCCGAGGGGCCCTGGGGCCCTCCGTGCCCTCCTCCGCTGCACCTGGTCCACCAGCCTCTCCGGTCGCCCCGCCTCACCGATGCCAGCGGCCACTCCTGTGCAGCCCCAGCCCTCCCTGCACGCGTGCCCTGCCTCTCCCTGGCCCGCGGCCCCCCTGCCCTGTCGGTGCGCGCGAGGGCCGCTCTCTGCCCGGTTCCTGGACTCTTGTCCTTGCCCTCCTGCTCCATGAGCACGGGTCTCACCTCCTTAGGCCTCTCTGGCGGCCCGTGTAACAGGGGGAACATCGTCCCTCCTCTGCTCCGGTTCCTCCGAGCACACGTCACATCTGGCACGCTGTGTGTCCCCTTTGCTGGGATGCAGGCTCCCACAGAGCAGGGCAGGGGTGGGGGTAGGGCAGAGGCAGGGGCAGGGCCCCCCTTTCATCTCTGAGCCCGGAACACGGAGCGAGCGTCCGCACCAAATGCAGGGGCTCTGCTCCCGCCCCGCCAAGCTCCCCTCCCGGGGCGGGAAAGAGGCTCACAGCCCGGCCGCCCCCCAGGTGCGTCTTCCTGCCCGACCAGGGCGCCTTCTTTGTGAACTATGTCATCGCCTCGGCCTTCATTGGCAACGGCATGGAGCTGCTGCGGCTGCCGGGCCTGGTCCTCTACACCTGCCGCATGGTCGTGGCCAAGACGGCCGCCGACCGCAGGAACATCAAGCAGGTACACCCTGCCCCCCTCCACGGGGCCGGTGATCACCCAGGAGGCGCGTCCTGGCGGGGGGGAACGCACTCTGCACCTGTCCTCTGCGTAGACGCGGGACTCTCGGGCCTGCTGCGTAGACCCGATTGGGGCAAGGGAAACACTGAGAGAACGAGACTCCTTTACCCCCGGCGGCCTGGGTGTGAGGCGAGCAGGGCCGGAGAGGTCCGTGCAGACGGCACCCGGGGCGGGCCGGAGAGGTCCGTGGGGCAGGGGGCAGCCATGAGCCTCCCATCTCCAAAGTCCTCCCCTTAAGGCCCCTGTGGCGTGGGCGGGTGGCGTCTGGAGCAAACCCTGCGCTCTGCCCTCTCGGCACAGAACCAGGCCTTCCAGTACGAGTTCGGAGCCATGTACGCGTGGATGCTGTGCGTCTTCACCGTCATCATGGCCTACAGCATCACTTGCCCCATCATCGCGCCGTTCGGTGAGTGTGGCCCCCGGGGGCGGTGGCTGACCCCTCGGGGCACCCTAGGGGTGCCCCCCGCACACTGAGGACTTCTGCAGCGCCCGGGAGCCACAGGGACATCCCTGGTCCTGCTGGCCATCCCTGGTGGCGCCCTGATCCCAGGGTCCGGGAGCTACCGCCTGGCTCGCGGGTGACTGCGCCGCGGGGCAGACACGCTCTGAATGTGTGTGCTCCGCGGGTTGTCACTCGTACCGCTCGACGCATCTCGTTTGTGGCCCCTTTCACACTCAGCGTGACACGAGTGAGGAGTAGACCCAGGATCTGAGCTGAGGACTGTTTGACTTTAAAGACCGAGGTCTTGCAGCTAAAATAAACGTGAGGAACTGCAGACGGGTGGAAGATTCTAGAAGAAAGTAGAACACCCAGCACACTGTTGGCACTGCAGCTGAGGTTTAGGGGCGGGAGGAGGTTTTAGTTTTCCGTTTACTCTTGAACTATTTAAAAAATCAACAGGTTTACTTTTTTTTTTTTTTT